CTCCCTGCTGGGCGGCTGCCCAGCCTGGGCCGAGAGCAGGGGAAAAGACCCCTGTGAGCCGCAGTGCCCCCTCCCTGGCTGAAACCAACAGAAACACCGGGTGTGAGGGAGATGGGGAGCAACCCCCCGAGGCAGCTGGGCCAGAGGGGTTCACCTACGGGGTCCCCCTGCCAGCCAGAGACCAACCCTTGGGCCAGTCCCAGGTGCCGGGCGATCCTGAGGGATGCCTGGCCCCACTACTCACCGTTGCAGGTCCCTGCCGGCTCCGTGCCGCCTCCTCCTCTTGCAGGTCCTGCAGGAACTCAGACAGCACCAGGGAGTCACGCAGGTCTGCTGCCCGGCGCCGCAGGGCTGCCTGCACGCGTGCCAACCTATGGGGACAGGTGCCTGTCACAGGTGCCAGCACCCTCCGGACCTCCTCGGGGCGAGCATCCTCCTCCTCCTCCTGCCTGCCCCTCCTCGGGGCGAGCATCCTCCTCCTCCTCCTCCCTGCCCCTCCTCGGGGCGAGCATCCTCCTCCTCCTCCCTGCCCACCCTGGGGACCAGAGAGGAGGAACCTTCCCCCAGGACTCACTTCTCCTCCACCATCTCCACTTTCCTCTGCATCTTCCTCGCCCCCTCATGCTCGGTGGGCGGCTCGCCTGCCACCTCTTCCCGCAGCGCCTGGAGCTTGAGGCCGCACATCAGGAGCTGCTTCTCCAGCTGGCCTGTCTCATCCAGGTCCTGGCGCAGCTCTGCTGGGCTTCTCATGGCGGCTGGCTCCGAGAGTGACCCGGCCACAACTTGCAGCCACCGCTCGGCCTGGTCCAGCTCCCCCACCAGCCTCAGTGCCTGCAGGGAGAGCAGGGACCCCCTCAGCCTGGCTCTGAGCCACCCAAGGGAGGCAGGAGCCGTGCTGCCACCCCACTGCGGGTACCCAGGGCACCGGCAGCTTGGGCAGCATGTTGGAGCAGGGGGTTGGAGCAGCACGCAGCACACCAGCCAGAGATGTGGGTGCCAACGCTGCAGCTCCCGTCCCCACGGGCGCTGGCCTCGCTTGCCGATCCCCAGCAAGCTGCTGCCATCAGGGGATGCCCCTGTGCCCCCCCCCAGCCCTGCTCCCCCCCTGTACCTTATCGATTTCCCGCAGCACGGCACCGTTTTCCTGGTGCTTCCTCTGCAGGTCCTCCCACAGCTCCCCCAGCTCCCGCAGCATCGCCTCCACCTGCGGGCTCCCCGGGGGTCCCCCTGGCGCCGGCCCCTCCTGGGAGGCAGGGAGGGAGGTTAGGATAGACCCCACCTGGGGTACCCCCACACCCCAGATGCCAAGGGACTCACCGGGAGCACAGCCTTGGTGCTGGAGCTGGGGTCCAGGGGCTCCCGCTGCATCCACGCTGCCTCCAGGCTTTCCACGTCCCCCAGCGGACACGGTGGGACTCTGGGACCCGCGCTCTCCTTGTGTGGGGACATGCTCTGCCAAGGAGCAGACATGGTGCGTTAGTGCCCAGGGACGGGCGTGAGTGCACAAGCACCCCCGAGCAGTGGGAGGGGGTCAGGGAAGGGGTCCCCCTTGACACTGGCTCCCCCCTGGTTGGGCTGGGAGCAAAGGGGGCTCTCGGGGACACATTACTGCATTCACTGACAGACAGATGTCCTGCACCTGGGCCTCCGGCCGCCACGTCCCCCACTCAGCCTCCGCCTCTCTCCTCCTCCTGCAGAGAGGGGGACAGCCAGGACTGCAAAGGGGTCCTCTTGCACAGGGGACCCCATCCCCTCTGACTCTGTCCCACTCCCCACAGCCACCTACACGAGCCGGTACCTTTTGCTGTCCCTGCCATGAGGGGGCTGCCCTGCTGCTGGGGAGCCAGGGCTGCTCTCCTCCTCTCGCTCGTGCTCCACCATCTGCCCCGACACATCCTTCGGCACCTACAGCACAAAGGCTCCCATTCCTCCTTTGCTGGCCCAAAGCGTGCATTGCTTTGCCCCAAGCCTGGTACTTATCACCTCCCATAAGTGGTGGGGCCAGGTCACAGGCACGATCAGCTTGGGCTTTGCCTAACACCCAAACCCCTTTTCCACAAAATCCCTCGTCTTCCCGAGGCGGAGGCGCTGGAGATGCCTGGAGGCAGGCAGATGCCTGTGCTCACCATGCTCCCGGGACCTCTTGTCCGTTTGTCTCCTGCTTCCTTCCCCACAGCCGCACGGCCGCTATCGTCTCCTCGTGGCTCAGTGCTCGGAGCCACAGCTTCGCCCCGCAGGGAACTGCTGGCTAGCGATGGAGCCTTCTCCGTCCTGGGAAAGGGGCACAAGGGAGGCCCAGGGGATGAAGAGGGACTTGAAGTGGAGCCGCTGCCCCAGAGACAGGCTGCCAGGGGCTAACCCAGGTCTTTCCCCAAGCCTCTGGCTCCAGCCCTGGGGTGTCAGGGTCGGGTCCCTGGGGCTCCTGCCAGGCTGTGCCCCTACCTCAGCGCCTGCTGGAGCTGCGCCCAGCTCTCCTTGACGTCCCGGTGCTTGGGGGTGACTCGGGCTGCCAGGCTGGGCTGCAGGCTGAGGAGCTGGGACACGGTCACATCCAGCATCTGGAGGAGAGAGAGCAGCCGAGGGGTGATGACAGGGCTGACAAGGGACGAGCCACTGTGGCCCCGGTGCCAAGTGCGTGACGGCAACTCACCCCCCG